GCTCAAGGCGATGCGCTGGGCAGCGGTCATCCATCACTCCGCGATAACGCATCCAGCCTGCACTGCTGGGCAAGGACAAAATAACAGGGGTTTATGTGAAATACCTGTATAGTCAACTCTTACATACCTGTATAGTCAACACCTACACACCTGTATAGTCAACACTTACACACCTGTATAGTCAACACTTACACACCTGTATAGTCAACACTTACACACCTGTAAAGTGAACTCTAACACACCTGTATAGTCAACACTTACACACCTGTATAGTCAACACTTACACACCTGTATAGTCAACACTTACACACCTGTATAGTCAACTCTTACATACCTGTATAGTCAACACTTACCTGTATAGTCAACACTTACATACCTGTATAGTCAACACTTACACACCTGTATAGTCAACTCTAACACACCTGTATAGTCAACTCTAACACACCTGTATAGTCAACACTTACCTGTATAGTCAACACTTACATACCTGTATAGTCAACACTTACACATCTGTATAGTCAACACTTACACATCTGTATAGTCAACACTAACACACCTGTATAGTCAACTCTTACACACCTGTATAGTCAACAAATTACACACCTGTATAGTCAACACTTACACACCTGTATAGTCAACACCTCCACACCTGTATAGTCAACACTTAAACACCTGTACAGTCAAAACTTACACACCTGTATAGTCAACACTTACACACCTGTATAGTCAACACTTACACACCTGTATAGTCAACTCTTACACACCTGTATAGTCAACACTTACACACCTGTAAAGTCAACACTTACACACCTGTATAGTCAACACCTCCACACCTGTATAGTCAACACTTAAACACCTGTATAGTCAACACTTACACACCTGTATAGTCAACACCTACACACCTGTATAGTCAACTCTTACACACCTGTATAGTCAACTCTTGCATACCTGTATAGTCAACACTTACACACCTGTATAGTCAACACTTACATACCTGTATAGTCAACACTTACACACCTGTATAGTCAACACCTACACACCTGTATAGTCAACATTTACACACCTGTATAGTCAACACTTACACGCCTGTATAGTCAACACTTACACACCTGTATAGTCAACACTTACACACCTGTATAGTCAACTCTTACACACCTGTATAGTCAACACTTACATACCTGTATAGTCAACACTTACACACCTGTATAGTCAACACTTACACACCTGTATAGTCAACACTTACACACCTGTATAGTCAACACTTACACACCTGTATAGTCAACACTTACACACCTGTATAGTCAATACCTACACACATGTATAGTCAACACTTACACACCTGTATAGTCAACATTTGCACACCTGTATAGTCAACACTTACACACCTGTATAGTCAACTCTAACACACCTGTATAGTCAACTCTAACACACCTGTATAGTCAACTCTTACACACCTGTATAGTCAACACCTACACACCTGTATAGTCAACTCTAACACACCTGTATAGTCAACACTTACACACCTGTATATTCAACACTTAAACACCTGTATAGTCAACACTTACACACCTGTATAGTCAACACTTACATACCTGTATAGTCAACGTGACTTTACCGAAAGAGCTAAGAATATGAATTACTGCAGTCACGAAAGCTTTAAATCAAAACTTACATACCTGTATAGTCAACACCTACACACCAGTATAGTCAACACTTACATACCTGTATGGTCAACACCTACACAACTGTATATTCAACACCTACACACCTGTATAGTCAACACAAACACACCTGTATAGTCAAATCTTACACACCTGTATAGTCAACTATAACACACCTGTATAGTTAACACACACCTGTATAGTCAACTCTTACACACCTGTATAGTCAACACACCTGTATAGTCAACACACCTGTATAGTCAACACACCTGTATAGTCAACACTTACACACCTGTATAGTTAACACTTACACACCTGTATAGCCAACACCTCCACACCTGTATAGTCAACACTTACACACCTGTATAGTCAACACCTCCACACCTGTATAGTCAACACCTACACACCTGTATAGTCAACACTTACACACCTGTATAGTCAACTCTTACACACCTGTATAGCCAACACTTACACACCTGTATAGTCAACTCTTACATACCTGTATAGTCAACACCTACACACCTGTATAGTCAACACTTACACACCTATATAGTCAACACTTACATACCTGTATAGTCAACTCTAACACACCTGTATAGTCAACACTTACACACCTGTAGAGTCAACACCTACACACCTGTATATTCAACACACCTGTATAGTCAACACCTACACACCTGTATAGTCAACTCTAACACACCTGTATAGTCAACACCTACACACCTGTATAGTCAACTCTTACATACCTGTATAATCAACCCTTACACTTGTATAGTCAACAATTACACACCTGTATAGTCAACACCTACACACCTGCATAGCCAACACTTACACACCTGTATAGTCAACACCTACACACCTGTATAGCCAACACTTACACACGTGTAGAGTCAAGTCTTACACCTGTATAGTCAACACTTACACACCTGTATAGTCAACACCTACACACCTGTATAGTCAACACCTACACACCTGTATAGTCAACACACATCTGTATCGTCAACCCTTACACACCTGTATAGTCAACACACATCTGTATCGTCAACCCTTACACACCTGTATAGTCAACACTTACACACCTGTATAGTCAACCCTTACACACCCATATAGTCAACACTTACACACCTGCATAGTCAACACTTACACACCTGTATAGTCAACACTTACACACCTGTATAGTCAACACTTACACACCTGTATAGTCAACACCTACACACCTGTATAGTCAACACTTACACACCTGTATAGTCAACACCTACACACCTGTATAGTCAACACTTACACACCTGTATAGTCAACACCTACACACCTGTATAGTCAACTTTTACACACCTATATAATCAACACCTACACACCTGTATAGTCAACACTTACACACCTGTATAGTCAACACCTACACACCTGTATAGTCAACACCTACACACCTGTATAGTCAACACCTACACACCTGTATCGTCAACTCTAACATACCTGTATAGTCAACTCTTGAAAAATCCAAGGTTAAGTGTGGGCGGCGTGGCCCAGAAAAGGCAATTCCCTGCATGCAAATGGACTGTTAAAGCCTCTACTCACAGAGCACGGCGGGGTTGGATGTGGAGTTGTAGAACACGTGGCAATGAATCAATAAACACAGCGTGGACGCAACTGAAGCGAACCTGGGCGTGGTGGATGCGGCACCGCCGCTTCCCCGCCGTGCGATCGCGTGCACGGTGCATGACGATGGAGGAACGCGCCCGCACACGCGATCCGCGCAGTGATTATAATCGACACGCTTGGATAACTTATTGTTGTTTATCCGTGCAGCCACTGATCAATGGGCAGTGGTCATCGACTCCCTGCGCTCCAACTGCATTGCAGATGGGGGGCGCGGCTCTGGGTTTGAACCCAGGACCTCGGGTTCTTCGTCGTGGCTCGGTTCTGGCTCGGTATCTAGCGCGGTCCGGGCTCGAGCCGCTCCGTTGCTTTGTAGAAGCCGAGTGGCTCGGCCACGGCTCCGGCTCCGTTCACGAGAGAGAGAAAAACTGGGACCGGGCTCAGAGCCGGCTCAAGTTACGCGTGGCGTTGAGCCGGCTCACCCGAGCCAGAGCCGTGCCAGAGCCGTGCCAGAGCCGTGCCAGAGCCGAGCAGGAGCTGAGACGTGACGAAGAATACGGGCCCCAACGTGGGCATACCGTGGTGGAGCGTAGCCTTCGCCCTGCTGATGGTCATTATCGAGACGACACCGGTGTCAATTCGCGTCGATACTTTTAAAAAGTGCACCAATCCCACTTCCTCGGCGTCATGTTGGTGGTGGTGACTGTGGATCCACCCTCGCTGAGCCGGGAAGGTCCCGGACCGTACGACTTTTCCCCAATGTGCTGTGCAGTTTCTGTACAGGGCCACTGATGAAAGGCATCGCGGTACCACGAAGGCAGTGCCCCCCATTGTTGGCGGTGGAGACATCGGCAAGTTTGGGCAACATTGTGTCAGACGAACAGAAATGTTCGCCAGCAAGCGTATCGTGGTTTTTCTGTACAGAATTTCGCATTTTTCTCTCCAAAACTTCTCCCTTCTGCACACCTATTGCCCAGGCCTCCCGTCGACCATTTCCCCGAAGCAATCTTCACTAATCCACAATATCCAGGCGCTGATTCCGTGGTGTCGAGATGTTAAATTCCTCGCCTGGTATACAGGAGAGTTCGATCCCGACCCTGGCGCCTAGTATAGTTGGATTTTGCGTGTCCTCCCTCCACGTGGTCGCGTGGATTATTGTTTGGATCTTCTGTTCTTCCCTCCACATTTTGAATCAACATCACGCGTTTAGAGTATTTGACTGCTATACATTTCCACCACGATAAGCCATTTTTTTGAGTTATCGTTTGTGGCCAGGTCGCTTCTATATAATAGTTGTATATCTCGGTGGGCCTTACCTGGATATTTCAATTTAAAAAAATGTTTGGTTTATTCCGTTATCCAAGCTTTTTTCCCGGTTATTTGGAGTGGCGCAGATGTAGAAAATTTACCCCGATTATCTGAGCCTTTGTGCAGCTCAGCGAAGGAAGTAGGGTTGCCGTGCCTGACTTACACACTCGGAGGAAGAACATCCCAAATTAGCAAGAGAGGAGAGATCTGTGTCGAAGCGATGTTAACCATCCACACAGCACGCGCACAGAAGCTGATTTCATCGCTCCGTCTCCTCGGAGGGCGTTTTCCCTGACGAGTTTCCCTCCGTGGGCTACAGCTCCATCATCACCCTCGACCATTGTCCATCATCTCTCCTCGCCGCGACTCGTCCCGCCCACGCTCAATTTACTGCTGATTAAGTTTAGATTCCGATTTAAAATGGTGTATCCCTCTCTAATCTATGCGTTCCTCTTTCTGTCTCTCAGCATAATCACACGTCTTGTGCTTGCTTCGGCAACCAGAGAGCGGCTGGGGCTCAAAGCGTCTCTCTGCCCGATTTGCGCAACGTGATGGTCCACGTGTCTGCTCTTGGCCCAAAGCCAGCGGAAGATGGACGGACACTCCCACGCTGGAATCCGGTCCATACCACGGCCACTTACGACTTCCCAAAGAGTGGCAACTCATTTGGCCAAGCCTGGTGAGTTGATGATGGGAAGCGTTTGACACAGGGCTTCTAACGAGGTGAGAAACGCGAGAACTCGCATCGACCCCCCCCCCCCCGCCACCAAAGCAATAAACGCGTTCTAAAAAAAGAAATGGTTGGCTCACTTGGGCGTAACGGTGGTGGCGTGCGAGTGCCACGTGTTCGTGTGCCAGAGACGAGTGATTAATGCTGATGTCGGTGGCGAGAGAAGAGGAGGAGGAGAAGAAAAAAGAGTGGGGGCAAAGATCGTCGCGTATCGTTTGGGGGCGCCGGGTCCCCAGCGTGGCGGGGTCGGCCAGAGCCAGCAGCAGCAGTCCGCGTGGGACACCAGCACCCGTGTCAGCTCTGACAGCCACCAACTCTGCCTGCATAATCACTCATCGCTCGTGATATATAGATAGATACACGCGCACGCGTGGAGCTGCCGAGTCTTTATAAGCACGCTCCGTACAGCTCGGCCGACAAATTACGCGAATATAATTGACGAGCGATAGTCATATTTGTCATCGTATCAGCGATAGGAAATTAAGGGACGGTACGAGCAGCCGACGCTCCCTCTCCTCGGAGTCCCGCTCCCGTTACCCAAACGTCCAGCGACAAGTCGGCTGAGCAGCCATGGGGTGCGGAGAGGAGATGGACCTGTACGTGCCCAGCTACGCCGAGCTCGACGAGCGGGAGAAGGACACGGCCGGCGACCGGCCCAAGTGGGACAACAAGACGCAGTACATGCTCACCTGCGTCGGCTTCTCCGTGGGGCTGGGCAACGTGTGGCGCTTCCCTTACCTGTGCCAGAGCCACGGCGGAGGTGAGTGCCAGGGACGCACGCGTGCACACGCACACGCACACAAAGACCCCCCGTGTAGCCTTAACAGACTGTAGGGGCAAGTGCTGTTAGCGAGCACCTATGAAGGCCGGAACGGTACACGAGGGGGTGGGTGGCCAGCATCACGCCCGACCGCCTTTGTCTCCCCAGTGGCAATGTTTACACACTGCACCAGGTACTCATTTGAGGCTGAGTCGACCTAGGGAAGGCCCGGGACCGGTTCAGATAATCGTCACTGGTATTGGACATGAGCGGGAATCGAACCCGTGTCGCCAGGTTCATAGCGCAGCGCGCTAACCGCTACACTACCGCGCACACACACGCACACACACACACGCGTGTCCTCCGGGTTGCAAAAGAGATGCAGGGCACTGTGATGACCGTGCTGACCACTGGCTCTCGCCTTGTCGCTGTGGTCTAAACTAAACTAGTTTTTATTTTACCAGCTAAGGCCCACTGAGCTATGCAGCTCTTTTTTCAGAAGAGACCTGGCCACAGATGATAGCTCAACGAAGTAGCTGCTCATCACGTGGACATCTATAGCAGCCAAATACTCTAAACGCGGGATGTTGATTCCAAATGTGGAGGGAAAAACCGGAGGACTCGGAGAAAATCCACGCGACCACGGGGATAGAGACACGCAAACTCCAAATATAGAACAGGCGGCAGGTTCTGGATCAAACCCACGACCTCCTGTATACCAGGCGAGGTAGTTAACATCTCCTAGCCACCGCGGTCAGGGTTGCGATACCTATTGCGCAATGCTGAATGGATTTCCATTTGACGTCTAAAACAATTCTAAGATGTCTCTCGTTTCACAGTGTTTTACTGTTCACCTTTGGGGTTTCGTAAAGCTATCCTTGTAAGTCTTAGTAATCGCCTCATTATCAGTATCGCCGGCTTTTGTGGTGAGATCGGCATCAACCACTCACCACTGAGCACGCTACGCACAGCCCATGGTATCAACTCTGCAATAAATTAACAGAAAGTACAGCCCTGCGTCACTGCACTGCTGCTTGGACGAGTGGCCATGCTAATAAATAAACACATCTGGTACGTCGCGCCGGTCGGTGTGGGGTGGTGGCGCCTGATGATTGATTTACAATATCAGCGGCCACTGCCCTTAACCTTGGCCGGGGATCGAGCTCAGGACGACGGCTTCATAGTGTAGTGCACTAACCACTGCCCCACGACTCGCTTTCCGTAATTAGTCAGTCCATAACGCGTGTGTGTGTGCATTTCTCTTCTTCTTCTTAACATTAGCTGCTGCCTTGTATTGCATAAGCGTATGATGTTAATGAATGCACAGGGTTTGATGAAACAAAGTAAGTTGTAACTTACATGCACCCAGCTTAAGAAGCAGCACTGCTCTAAGGCGACCCATCTGCGATTGAGAGGACTTCACGATCGGCGTTGCATCGTGAATTACTGCGCAGGCGAGGATGTCCGAGTGCCATTGGTGCCACATTCACGACCCCTCAAAGCGAGTCGGCCAGGAGGACGATTGGGCGCGATATTTGATGGTGCCAGGTGGCGAGGCCCGCTGTTGGCGAGTATTCTCAAGCCCCGGCAGTGATGTTGTCGTTGTGTCCCGCGGTGAATGCGACGGCGTCTGGGCCCCGTCGCTCTGAGAACGCTCCACGCCGCGGACTCCTCGCAGACGCGACGCGAGAGCCCGCAGCGAGAGTGCGACGTTTCATGGAGCAGACGGGCGGCTGCGTGGGCAGCTGGGCAGGTGGAGTGGCTGCGTCAGCAGCGCAGAGGGCTGCTGACGCGGCTCGCACCCCCGGGCGAGCCGCGCGTGGTGACGCCTAAGCGGTGCCTCGCGTGCAGCGTCGCTCGCTCGCCGTCACCGCGCAAGCTGCCGGCCTTAAATGTCTTTCCCCTCACTTCACGGTGGGTTGGCGGCCACGGTCCTGTGGTATTGAGCTCACTCGACTCCGGGAGGCCGTGGAAATGATGTCCTGCGGGACATCTGTGACAAAGAGCTTCAGAGCTCATGGGATTCCTCCAGGATACATTCTCAAACGAGATGAGAGTTTATTGACTCCCCACCGCGTGCACATTCAGCAGACGAGCGCGCGTGAAGTGTGTCTGTGTATGTATGGAAGTATGTAACGCTGTGGGGACGGAGCGCCCCTACAGCGTTACATGTTCGAGACCGTGAGCGTAATTCTGATGTGATTAAACAAGAGCAACCGCGATCTAGAATAGCCTAGGAGCGAGACAAATCAAATATTGGGGCTGAGAATGCATTTTACTACGCCACTAATTATAACCGCTTCGACTAACTTATCGCCTTACTTTGTACATCACGAACAAAAGTAATCCCCCGAACACCCCCCAATGGTTCACGGGCATCTCGATACTACTCACACTGATTCTAAGCCGCAACTCGGCACAGGCTCTTGGCTCTGCCTCAGGTGAGACGACTCAGGGCCACGCTTCCCTCGAGCCGGCTCTGAGCACCGCCACAGGATTGCCGTGAGCTCAGCTGCCCGTGCACTTCTCAGAGCAACGGAGCGGCTCAAGGCCGAGCTAAGCCAGCACTCCGCAATCCGATCGTAAGAAGCGCCTTACCCTATTAGTACCCTATTAGTACCCTATTAATACCCTATTAATACCCTATTAGTACCCTATTACTACCCTATTAATACCCTATGAGTACCCTATTAGTACCCTATTACTACCCTATTAGTACCCTATTAGTACCCTATTAATACCCTATTAGTACCCTATTACTACCCTATTAGTACCCTATTAGTACCCTATTAATACCCTATTAGTACCCTATTAGTACCCTATTCCCACAATGCCACCACACGCTCCGTGCGGCTCCTGAAGCAATGCTTCCAAAATACCATCTACTCACCACCACCGACTCACCACCTACTCACCACCACCTACTCACCACCTACTCACCACCACCTACTCACCACCTACTCACCACCACCTACTCACCACCTACTCACCACCACCTACTCACCACCACCTACTCACCACCACCTACTCACCACGTACTCACCACCTACTCACCACCTACTCACCACCACCTACTCAACACCTACTTACCACCTACTCACCACCACCTACTCACCACCTACTCACCGCCTACTCACCACCACCTACTCACCACCTACTCACCACCATCTACTCACCACCTACTCACCGCCTACTCACCACCTACTCACCGCCTACTCACCACCACCTACTCACCACATACTCACCGCCTACTCACCACCTACTCACCGCCTACTCACCACCTACTCACCACCGCCTACTCACCACGTACTCACCACCGCCTACTCACCGCCTACTCACCACCTAGTCACCACCACCTACTCACCGCCTACTCACCACCTACTCACCACCTACTCACCACCACCTACTCACCACCTACTCACCACCACCTACTCACCACCTACTCACCACCTAGTCACCGCCTACTCACCGCCTACTCACCACCTACTTACCACCTACTCACCACCTACTCACCACCACCTACTCACCACTTACTCACCACCTAGTCACCGCCTACTCACCGCCTACTCACCACCTACTCACCGCCTACTCACCACCTACTCACCGCCTACTCACCACCACCTACTCACCACCTACTCACCACCATCTACTCACCACCTACTCACCACCTATTCACCGCCTACTCACCACCGCCTACTCACCACCTACTCACCGCCTACTCACCACCTACTCACCACCTACTCACCACCGCCTATTCACCACCACCTACTCACCGCCTATTCACCACCACCTACTCACCACCTATTCACCGCCTACTCACCACCTACTCACCACCTACTCACCGCCTACTCACCGCCTACTCACCACCTACTCACCACCTACTCACCGCCTACTCACCACCTACTCACCGCCTACTCACCGCCTACTCACCACCTACTCACCACCTACTCACCACCTACTCAAGGCTTGCTCAACACCGAGAGCTCCACTGGGGTCATTGTCGTCACACAATCTCGGCACAGACGCACACCGATTTAATTTTTCCTGGACCAGTTTGGGATCGAAGGTGAGGGGTGAATGGGGGTGATGCCTCCCCCCCACCTCCACCTCGAGACCCCAAAAATTCGTATTTAATTGATATGTACCAGAGGATATACAATGGGGTTTTTTATGACTGTAAATCTATCAATCTATCTTTAAGGAGCTGAGGTGATTGCTATACAATGACACGTGATGACGTGGCAGTGGTGCCTGCTGATAACAGCGTCCCTTAAGTTGGCATTCATTTTTGTCTGAGTTTGGCATTCGAGGAGGCCAAGGTCACGTGATGAAATCAGCTGCTCCCTATTGTGCGTAAAGTGGCATTGTTACTGTGGGTGCAGTCACCGGGAAATGCTGCTCCGTGCCGTCTACGCTTGACGTCCCTTGACCCTCCTTGACACTTCTTGACTCTCCTTGACCCTCCTTAACTCTCCTTGACCCTTCTTGACCCTCCTTGACTCTTCTTGACCCTCCTTGACTCCCCTGACTCCCCTGATTCTTCTTGACTCTTCTTGACTCTCCTTGACCCTGCTTGACTCCCCTGACTCCCCTGATTCCCCTTGACTCTCCTTGAACCTCCTTGACCCTCCTTGACCCCTCTTGAATCCCCTGACTCCCCTTGACCCTTCTTGATCTCCCTTTACTCCTCTTGACCCTCCTTGACCCTCATTGACCTAACTTGACTCTCCTTGACTCTCCTTGATCTTCTTGACTCTCCTTGACCCTTCTTGACTCCCCTGACTTCGCTTGACCCTCCTTGACTCTCCTTGACCCTCCTTGACTCTCCTTGACCCCTCTTGACTTCTTGACTCTCCTTGACCCTCCTTGACCCTTCTTGACTCTCCTTGATTCCGCTGACTCTCCTTGACCCTCCTTGACTCTCCTTGACCCTCCTTGACTCCCCTGACTCTCCTTGACCCTCCTTGAATCTTCTTGACCCTTCTTGACTCTCCTTGACTCTCATTGACCTATCTTGAATCTCCTTGACTCTCCTTGACCTTCCTTGACACTTCTTGACCCTCCTTGACACCCCTGACTCCCCTTGACCCTCCTTGACTCTCCTTGACTCTGCTTGACTCTCCTTGACCCCTCTTGACTCTTTGACTCTCCTTGACCCTCCTTGACCCTCCTTGATCCGCTGACTCTGCTTGACCCTCCTTGACTCTCCTTGACCTTCCTTGACTCCCCTGACTCTCCTTGACCCTCCTTGACTCTCCTTGACTCATTTTGACCCTCCTTGACTCTCCTTGACTCTCCTTGACCTTCCTTGACTCCCCTGACTCTCCTTGACCCTCCTTGACTCTCCTTGACTCATTTTGACCCTCCTTGACTCTTCTTGACCCCTCTTGACTCTTTGACTCTCCTTGACCCTCCTTGACCCTCCTTGACTCCCCTGACCCTCCTTGACCCTGCTTGACTCTTCTTGACCCTCCTTGACTCTCCTTGACTCCTCTTGACCCTTCTTGACTCTCATTGACCTATCTTGGCTCTGCTTGACGCTGCTTGACCTTTCTTGACTCCTCTTGACCCTCCTTGACTCCCCTGACTCCCCTTGACCCTCCTTGACTCTCCTTGACCCTGCTTGACTCTCCTTGACCCCTCTTGACTCTTTGACTCTTCTTGACCCTCCTTGACCCTCCTTGACTCCGCTGACTCTCCTTGACCCTCCTTGACTCTCCTTGACCCTCCTTGACTCCCCTGACTCTCCTTGACCCTCCTTGACTCTCCTTGACCCTTTTTGACCCTTCTTGACTCTCATTGACCTATCTTGACGCTTCTTGACTCTCCTTGACCTTCCTTGACACTTCTTGACCCTCCTTGACTCCCCTGACTCCCCTTGACCCTCCTTGACTCTCCTTGACCCTGCTTGACTCTCCTTGACCCCTCTTGACTCTTTGACTCTCCTTGACCCTCCTTGACCCTCCTTGACTCTCCTGACTCTCCTTGACTCTCCTTGACTCTTCTTGACCCTCCTTGACTCTACTTGACCCTTCTTGACTCTCCTTAACCCTTCTTGGCCCTCCTTGAATCTTCTTGACTCTCCTTGACTCTCCTGACTCCCCATTGACCCTCCTTGACCTCCTTGACCCTCCTTGACTCTCCTTGACTCTCCTTGACCTTTCTTGACTCTCCTTGACCTTTCTTGACTCTCTTTGACTCTCCTTGACCTCTCTTGACCTCTCTTGACTCTCCTTAACCCTTCTTGACCCTTCTTGACCCTCCTTGACCCTCCTTGACTCTCCTTGACCCCTCTTGACTCTCATTGACCCTCCTTGACATCTGTTGACCCTCCTTGCCTCTCCTTGACCCTCCTTGACCCTCCTTGACTCTACTTGACTCCCCACAACTCCGTGCTAAACCAGTGGTTGACCATCGTGTGCCCGCGCATGGCCGAAATCCGTCAAATTAAAAAACATTGCCTGCACTTTAACCAACGTGGGATTGCACGCGGAATCATCGCCCCCGACTGTCAACCTGCTGCTGCCCGACTGTGATGGTCCTTAACAAGGCGGTCGGCAACCCGCGGTTCCAGAGCCACAAGCGACTCTTCGAGGAATCGCGGCTCTTTAAACATTGCGGGGGGGTGGGGGGTTGTTTTCCGAATTCGAAACGAGATGTCTCTTACATTATGAGACCTCCTTTGCCAGTTGTGGTTATTGCAAACATGATGCCTTGAATAAAGGTGTCAGTTTTTGTGCCAGTTAAAAGGGTAAAACCTATTTCTATATCTTGTTACTGGCAAAGGAGGTCTCATAATGTAAATGCTCACCCCGAGCCCTCAATACTCTGATAGTGCGCTGTTTTTGAGTTGTACGCCTTTTGGCGTCTTCTGGTCCAACACCAGTGGAGACTAGGCTCTAAGAAAAGTCGTCTCGGGTGTGGACCAATCAAACTCAAGGACAGTGCATATTATTATCAGAGTTGTCTCTTTTGTTTGCATTTTGACTGCTTGTGTTGTGGTTATAGCAAACATGATACCTTGAATAAAGGTGTCAGTTTTTGTGCCAGTTAAAAGGGTAAAACCTATTTCTATGAGATGTCTCTTCTTGTTATTCTGCCAGCCGATCCGTGGTCTACACCCATAGCGCCGCCTTCCTTCGTGACGGCCTTGCGCTGAACGAGAGAGGGCTGCTCGAAGTTCATCCTGGCAGTGTTGTGAACGTGCGGTGCGCGCGCGTGTGCTGGCCATCCACCCCCTCGTGTGCCGTGCCGGCCATCGTCGGTGCGGGCGGACAGCACTTGCCCCAGCAGGCTATACGGGGGATCTTTTTCTGTGTGTGGGGAGCGGTGGCACAGTGGTTAGCGCACTGCGTGACGAACCCGGCGGCCACCCGAGTTCGATTCCCGCTCACGGCCAACACCGGTGATGTTTATCAGGACTGGTCATGGACCTCCCCTAGGTCGACTCAGCCTCAATTGAGTACCTGCTGCGGTGTGTAAACATCGCCACCCAGGAGACAAAGGCGGCCGGGCGTGGTGCTGGCCACCCACCTCCTCGTGTGCCGTGCCGGCGCGTGCCCACACAGTCTGTTAAGGGCCATCCGGTGGGATCTTTGTCTTCGTTGCGTGCAGGAGCATTCATGATCCCGTTCCTGATCCTCGTGGTGCTGGAGGGCATCCCTCTGCTCTACCTGGAGTTCGCCATCGGCCAGAGGATGCGCAAGGGCAGCCTTGGCGTGTGGAACACCGTGCACCGCGCCTTGGGCGGCGTTGGTAAGGGCGGCCGAGGCCTCCACCGAGACGGCGATCGGAGCCAAAAGCTCCCCACACCCCCCCCCCCCCCCGAACGTCCCGGGGAGGGTTGTCCGATCCGTGCCTCACTCGCGGGGTCGACGCGTTACGAGTCTCGTCTGGCGGTATGACAGCAGCGATATCCATCGTAAAGTGGGGTTTGGGGTTAGATCGCGTAAATATAGATGTTGTGTCGTTAAACCCTCCACCCACCGCCCGACACAGCCAATGAGTAAGGTTTGCCACGTGAACAAAACGTGCCAATGAATGACTGCTTCAGCACACACACACCGGTTGTGTGTTGAGAGTGAACCCACAACGACGTTTACAATTCGAGTGCCGTGACGTTTCGCCGGTGAAGAATTGCGAATAAATCCTCCTGCTACGGTCTTAGATATTGGTCTAATTGGTCGCGAAAGTGTTGAACAGCAGCGACACGCTCGTTCGCTAAATGTCAACGTCAAGGTCTGCTGGCCGCTCTCGGCAGAGGAGACTTCGTGTCGTGGCTGCTGTTCCTCCTCCATCGAAGGAGCGCGACTTGATATATTCATTGCATTAATTCGTGTGCAATCAGCAAGGCCGCGGTGACACAGAGCTATTTCATGTTTAGGTTATAATCCCTTGTCCATCATCACGACGTCCTTTTTACTTTGATGTCTCAACAACAGCGTCACAGAGTTCACGTGACGTGAGGGTTCTGTAGTGAGGGTTGTCAGTTGACACCGAGGAGGGGGGAGGAGGCGCCCCGCCCCCCCCCCTCATGTGGAGTGACGTCAGCCGCTAATTAATATTAATGACGGGGGTGACCATTTGGAGGACGTTAGCTTATGATTATTAATGAGGCGGGGGGGGGGTGCTCCATGTGGAATGACGTCACCTGCTCATAATTATTAATAAGGGGGGCTGGTTGACGTGCAGTGACGTCACGAGCGTAAAGGACATTCCTGGGTGATTAAAGTGGGTATTGGCTGTGTCGGGTGGTGGCCGGTTTAACGACACATCTATATACTTACGCGATCTAACCCGAAAAAGCTGTATTATGGATATTGGTCGAGAAAGCCTACTTGTTAAAATCATTGGGACAGTCCGTAGTGGGGGTTGCATTGCCGTTATTGCATTGTGGCAATGCAACCCGTCACAACTCACGCTTTACATTTGACCATTCGCCATCACGCGAGACAGTGCGGGTTGGTGAAGACAGGAGGAAGCACAGAAGCGGCACTACAACAATTGATGTTACTGCACCGTCCTCTTGCCGCCTACAACGCAGCACAGGCGCATGAGCGCCTATGGCAACCCGGCATGCACGGGGGCCAACCACCCAGACAGCGAGCACGGCCATGATGGTGATGATGGCTGTGATGATGTTGATGATGGCGATGATGACACTGATGACGATTGTGATGATGACATTGATGATGACGTGATGACGGCGATGATGATGTTGATGATGGTAATGATGACATTGATGACGGCGATGATGACGTTGATGGCGGCGATGACGTTGATGATGGTAATGATGACATTGATGACGATGATGGTGATGATGACATTGATGATGGCGATGATGACGATGATGGCGATGACGTTGATGACTTTTGATTTAAAGCTTTCGTGACTGCAGTAATTCATATTCTTAGCTCTTCCATGCTGGTGTCTTGCCGTTGGGTTTTCACACCTGTTGATGCCCGTTTGTGTCATGGTCGAAACGTCGTAAGATTTTTTTTATTGTTTTATATATATTTTTATTTTATTGTTTCCCTTCAACGTGACTTTACCGAAAGAGCTAAGAAGACGTTGATGACATTGATGATGGCGATGATGACGATGATGGCGATGACGACGTTGATGACGGCGATGACGTTGATGACGACGGCGATGACGTTGATGATGACGAGGAGGAGTGGTGAGTGCACGCGACGCTGCTGCCCGTGCCGCGTGCAGGGATCGCCTCCATGCTGGTGTCTTTACTCGTGGGTCTCTACTACAACACCATCATCTGCTGGGTCATGTGGTACTTCTTCAACTCGTTCCAGGAGCCGCTGCCTTGGAGCTACTGCCCCCTCAATGAAAACCAGACAGGTTTGGCGCCATCACGCTCCTCCATGCCGCCCGCAGCCAGTGGGAGCCTCGGTGGGGGGCAGCGGTATAACAAAGACAAAAGAACCCCGTACAGCCTTCAACAGACTGTCGGGGCAAGTGCTGTTAGCGAGCAGCACCTGTGAAGGCCGGCACTGTGGCACACGTTGGGGTGGGTGGCCAGCACCATGCCCGGCTGACTTTGTCTCTCTAGTGGCGATGTTTACTCACTGAAACGGGTACTCAATTTGAGGCTGAGTCGACCTAGGGGAGGACCCGGAGTTCAAATAATCGTCATTGGTCTTGGCCGTGAGCGGGAACCCAGGTCGCGAGGTTCGGAGCGCAGCGCGCTAACCTCTGCACCACTGCTCCCCAACAACACAGACACCGACAGACACTAACACACACAGACACTAACACACACAGACACTAACACACACAGACACTAACACACACAGACACTAACACACACAGACACTGACACACACACTGATACACACACTGATACACACACACTGACACACAGACAACAACCGCCATTCGCCACTAAGTGGCGGTGACTTCACCACGATGCTTGTGCCAGGCCATGTGCACCTTGAGGCCACGTGAAGTGTCGAACGCCCGCTGGCAGGAGGTCACGGGGCAGACCCAGGTGCCACGGGTCGACTGACTGAGATGACCGAGATGACTGACTGATGCACCACCTGTGCCCCCTACTATGCCAACTTGCTGTGCATTAGCCACCCGGCGCTCCGCTCGTTGTTGTGAGCGTCGCTCCTCCGCCCTCTGTTGTTGTTGAAGGGCGACTGCCTCAACTGCCCAGTAGCGTCCTTCACGAGCCTCCTCCACTGAGGCCGATCTTGACACCGCTGGTACCAGTCATCGGCAAGTCCACTCAGCTCCACGTCCTCCTGTACCACATCACTCCATCTCTTCTCTAGCTCGTGCCGCGCCCGTTTAGCCCCCTCGATCTGGCCGAACAAAAGCTGTTTAGGCATGCGGTGGCTGGGCATGCGGGCTACATGACCCAGCCAACGCAGCCTTGCCTACCGGAGTAGCTCGCCGATGGGACTTTGCCCGGATCTTTCAAGGATTTGTGAGCTCCTCACACAATCCAGTCTGGTTAAACCCAGGATAGATAGTAGGCAGGCCAGCCTAAGTGTTTCTAACCGGCGAAGATGTTCCATGAGGGGGGTCCACGTTTCGCAAGCGTAGAGAAGGGAGGGAATGACCGTGGCCGAGAAGACCTGAAGCTTCGTGCGGAGTGACAGACCAGGCAGCTTCCACACAGCGTTACGCAACCGATGAAAAGATATTGCCGCACGGCTAAAACGAAGTGAGACCTCCGCTGCCAAACCGGAGACGGACATGAGCACACGGCACAGGTATGGGAAACTCTCCACTCTCTCCACAACTGCCCCATCACCGATTGGGAGTTGTGGGGGTAAAGTGTCCGATGGTACAAAATACCCAGGCAGGTGCTTAATTTTGGTGGGGCTGATGGTAAGGACCCACCTCTAGTGGCACGCTCCAGTTTCAGCGAGAAGTGTCTACAACTCCTCCTCTGAATGAGCAGAAATTACCAAATCATCGGCATACATAACGTGGTTGAGCAATAGGGAGCCATCCCTTGACCGCACCCGGGCATCGATCAGCCTCCCATTGTATCTGTACCAGATGGAAATTCCTCCAGTTCAGCTATTGAAGGCTTCACAAACTATGTGGTCAAAATAGATGTTAAATAATGTGGGAGCCAGAGGACATCCCTGTCGCACCCCAAGGCGTACAGGGAATGGCTCTGACTCCCGGCCACGTAGTTTTACCCTGGCCCGCTCACCATCATGAAGGTCCTTAATGATCGTGAGCAGAGGGTCAGGGACTCCGAAAGCACGAAGAACAACCCAGAGCCCAGGCCTATTGATGGTATCATAGGCTTTGACCAGGTCAATAAAGCAGAGCTGTAGGTCTTGTTGGAATTCCCTATACCTCTGCTGTAGCAGACAGACAGAAAATATGGCATCTGTGCAGGACCGACCTTTCCTGAAGCCGCATTGGGGCTCCGCAAGCCTCTCCTCAGCGTGCCTGGCAAGGCGATGTTGAATAATCCTTGCCAGGACCTTTCCTGGCACACTGAGGAGTGAGATGCCCCTGTAGTTACAGTCTGTGCGGTCCCCCTTTTCAAAAAGGGGGACCACCAGGGCATCCGTCCAATCCTGCAAAACCCGTCCAGTGGTCCAGACTGTTGTTATGATGTCATACAGGGCAGTCTGTGCACAAACGCCACCCTCCCTCAGCATTTCGCTTGGGAGATCATCTCTGCCCGGTGCCTTTCCTGGTCTCAGATTCTGGATCGCCCTCAGTACTTCCTCCACAGATGGCACCTCAGCCAGCCACTCACAAGGGGTGACTTCTTCTTCCAATATTTGAGGCACCGCAGCCTCGGCAGGGTCATACCCACTTTGTCCCACGTTGTTTTCCTGGGTGAGGAATTTCCCCTCCCCCAGGACCTCACAGAAATGCTCAGCAAATCTGCAAACCTGTTCCTGGTGGTCGGAGATTGGATCACCGTTTAGGTCCCTAATGATGGCAATAGGTGTGGCACTGCAGGTTACTTTTTATGGAGTTAAAGAGCGATTTGTTATCGCGGGCCACTAAGGCAGCCTCCATCTCCTCAGCAACCCGCCACCACCACCCATCCTTGCAGCACCTCACGGCTCTCCGAACCTCCGAGCGAAGGTGGCGGTAAGCCTCCTCATTCTCCGACGTGGGATGCTGTAGCCGATGACAGTGGGCCTGTCGCTTTTTCTCAGCCAGCTTGAACACCTCCTCTGTCAGCCATAGTCTCTGCGGAGGTCTGGACCATGTACCCAAAGCAGCCATTGCAGCTGCATGAGCCACAGTCCTAAACCTCGCCCATTTCCCCTCGACATCAGGAGGAGTGGGGGACGATGCCAACCCCAGCTGTAAGCGATGATGAAATTCTCGCTTGCAACTTTCATAAGCTAGCTGAGACCATGCCACTAAGGGGTTGAATGGGGTCCTGGGTGTACATCCACCACCGGAGTGGCAGAATGGCAGGCGCATCTTACAGATGACAAGTCGATGGTCAGTGGGCAGATCAGCTCCACGGTAGGTCCTGGTGTCAAGGACATGGGCCCGCATCTGCTGTTCCGTCACTATGTAGTCCAGCAGATGTTATTGCTTGGACCTGGCATGCATCCATGATGTGGTGTGGATGTGCCAATGCTGGAACAGCGCGTTGATAATTACAAGCCCATGGGCTGCACAAAAATCTAGTAGCCTCCTGCCGTTGTTATTGAGCTGATCTGGCCCATGCCTTCCAATTACTCCAGACCAGGTGCCAGCATCCAACTCTGGAATTGAAGTCACCCAACAAGATGACTCTATCCCGAGGGGCCACTTTAGCTAGCACCTGTGACAGGAGGTCATAGAAGGCATCTGACTCATCAGCCTTGCCTGCATCCCTCCACGGATGTTCGTCTTCAGTGGGGGCATAAGTAACTACGACCACCACTCCTCGCCTCTGGTTGATGAGAAGGCGAGCCCAAAGTAGGCTGGGGCTTACAGCTTCCCACACCTCACCGCCACGCTCCCACTCCCCCTTCATTCTTTTATTCAGAAGAAGAGCCACACCCTGTTGTTTGGCAGTCTCATTCCCCGAGTAGAGGACTGTCCACCCCTCATGGTGGCAGGAGCCAGAGCCAGTCCAACGGACCTCCTGAATACCACAGAGATCCAGGCGGTACCGGTCCAGCTCCCGACAGAGGAGTGCCAGCCTCTCCTCCGCAGTGAGCATTCGTACATTCCACGTGGCCATTCGCAGTGGGGTTTTTTTGTTGTTTCTGGAGGAGCCCCGAGGGTAGGATTCAGTCTCCTGGCTCCGCCAAATGGGGGTTGGCCAGGAGACATCATAGACGCCTGTCCCCCTGGGGCCTCCGGCACAAGCTTAATAAATGTTTAACTTCGTAGTTTAGTGGTAGTTAATTGAAGGTGGAGGGGTTACCAGCCCCTTGCACCCATCCAGAGCCCTCATTTGGCCGCTGTGGTAGCTACAAACGCCATGAGGGGAAAGGCCAATCGGAATTGGCCCTCCCCCCACGGCACTGCCCACGACAGCGTTGCCATCCGACACCACGAGGAGGTAGGGGGCTGTTTTGCCAGACACAGACACACACACACTGACACACAAACACACACACAGACACATACACACTGACATACACACACTGGCAAACACACGCGCGATGTCCGCCAGTGTTCTTCACTCATTTTCAGAGGAAGGGGGGGGGGCATCGCCACACATTTTAAACTATTGTTGGGTTTGACAGCATGACGATGATGATGGGGGGGGGGGGGGGGGGTGTTCACTCGTTGTGTATTGTCGGTGGGGGGCGCACGTCAGGAGACCGCGCTGAAGGCCACCAGGGGCTGGGGCTGCCAGTGGCCCACGGGTCTTGCAGTGAAGAACGCACGATCGTGTTACACGATGTCGCAACATCCTCTCTGGATGTATAACGAAGTGTCGAGTGCGCAAGAGATGCTGCCGTGCTGTAGCGGTCAAGCACGCTGGACTTGCAATCCAGAGGTCGTGTGTCTGTATATATGCATGTTGAACTCCCTTCGCCCACCGTACGTAGCCAACTGTGCTAATCGGAGGTGCGGGTGGTCACCGGTTCAATCTCCCGGCGCGGCTGTTGAAGCGATGTTGCAGGGGCCCTTTAATCTCCCCTCCTACCACTGCCCCTATCCACCCAGCGGTGCACAGTACGTGGGGTCACCACAGTCAGTCAATTGGCAGGTGGCTGTGTGGTGGGGTAAGGTGTGGGTACTCCTTCCTCTTCCAAGATGTCTGGCCCATTGTGGAAGAGTAGGCCAAAATACGCCTCTTGTATTCAGTGGGCATGTAATGACGTACGCCTTGTATGTACGTACGTTGAACTTCTCTCGCACCGTACTTGGCCAACCGTGCGAGTCGGAGGTGCCTTTAACGGTGTAATAATGTATTATTTACAAAGAATGCGAAGTGCATGCATTCAGGCTGTCGGAATAACCGAGACAGAGGAGAGACCCCGAGACGGCAGGAACACGAATGAGACAAAACGAATGGTTCTTGAATCGGATGCGTGGCCACTTGTGCCAATTCACCAGATTTCAGCGGGGGAGGGGATAAATCATGACAGCCAATTAAAATGCCTGATTGCCTGAAGTGCCACTACTTCAGATATTTCAGCAGCTGCCAAAACGTATTACCGCTCACCAGATGTCAGTCTTTCATTCAACAATTTTAAAAGCCAATTTAGATTGGTGATGACAATGGTGTAAATGCTGGTGTTGATGATGGCGGTGGTTTTGGTGATGTTATTGATGATGATGATGTTGGTGATGGAGGTGAGTGACGACAACCCCCACCCATTGAGACCCTGAAAATTGTTTCTTGATATTTAGCAGATAAAATACATGGAATGTTTTTAGTCATTACTAAACTGGGAACCTATTCAAAAACCTTGGAATTTCGGGATTCCCCCCCCCCCCCCCAGCCTTAGGAAGTGTCTAAATCCGGCTCTGATGATGGTGGTGGCGACCAGGTTCATCGTGGTTTTAACGATGACGATGTTGTTGGTGCCGATGGTGACGTGCGGTGGTGGCGCAGAGCGAGTCCCAGAATGTGCCAAGAGCTCCCCCACGGACTACTTCTGGTACCGCGAGACGCTTAACGTCTCCCCCAAGATCGACTCGGCGGGCGGCCTGCAGTGGTGGCTCGTGCTGTGCCTCATCTGCGCGTGGGCGGTCGTCTACGTGTGCACCATACGCGGCATCGAGACCACAGGCAAGGTGAGAGGGCCACGCTCCTTCCACAGAAGTCAACGCAACGGCCGCCACGCTCGCGCTCCCGGCAGAAGCGGAGGCAGCGGCATCAGCGGCAGCGTGTTCGCCGCCCGGAAGGCCGTCCTGGTTATTGCCGTCGGGCGCATTGAGCGTGAAATCCGACGCGTCGTCTGCCTCACTCGGTTGCGCTCAGGCATGGCGATCATCGTCGCGCGAACGAATGTCGACTTGCAGACCGGGTGCTGCGTCACCTTTATGTCCACAGGGACAGCTGCCACCGGGGATGCCCTTTTGAAATGCGTTGAGATGAGACGCTGTGGTACTAAGCCTCTCCTCTCGCGTGGAGGGCGCTCGCGAAGGCAGCTCCATCGAAGACAAAAAAACAATTCTGAGCACGGCGTTCGATTGTGGCAGCGCTTCACTGCCGCGTCCCCCTGTCGTGCAGGCCGTCTATGTCACCTCGACGCTGCCGTACGTGGTGCTCACCATCTTCCTCATCCGTGGCCTCACCTTGGACGGCTCGGTGGACGGCATCATCTTCCTCTTCACTCCCAACGTGAGTCCCGAGCCCCTTGGCAACCGAGGTGAGCGATTTTCAGCCTTCATGAGCAACTAAACTAAACTATAAACTAAATATTTCATTTATTTTACCAGTTAAAACCCACAGAGCTACATTGCCCTTTTTCAGAAGTGACCTGGCAACAAATGCAAGCGCAACGAAGATGATTGCTTGTGTTGCAGTCGAAAGGTCGTGAGAATTTAATTGTTTTATATTTTTATTATTTTATTGTTTCCCTTCTACGTGACATTACCGAAAGAACCAAGAATATGAATCACTGCAGTCACGAAAGCTTTAAATCAAAGTAAAACTCAACGAAGTTGTTATTACAGCAGCAGGCAAGTACTTTGAACGCGTGATGTTGGTTTTAAATGAGGAAAAAACCCCGATAAAAATCCACGTGACCACAGGGAGAAAATGCAAACTCCAAATATAAAGGTGTCAGGATCGAACCCAGGACCTTCTGTATACCAGGCGAGGTAGTTAACATCTCGCCACCGCCAACACCGCCCCCTGCATGGTACTTAGGGCGGAGCTGTCACCAACAGCTCGTGTCACTGAGATATTTGACTTATTTTGGGGCATTTTTTTTATTGCGCGCAAGTTCCACATTCCGTTGTGGAATTCGCACACTGCCCACTCACACCGCTAGCATACACACTGTTGCCCAGACAGCTAAAACAGCTCCTCCACTTAACAATTAACGGCCCCTTAATAAAGCATTAACGGGACAACTCCCACAAACAATATGCCTTGAGTCGTTATCGAATGACTATTTTTGACGATTTGACATTACCAACATTGGTCGAAATGATTAACTTCTGTTCACCGCAGGGCCATGAATGCAGATTCAAGCAGCGCCTGCTTATCGGTGCGGGTAACGAGCCAGAGCGCTGTCTCAATGTGCACTCATTAATGAGGGCCGAGCTAAGTCCAAGGGTTTTGGAGAGCATTCTCTTAAAAGCTCCTTCTCCAATGCCACGTGGCCCCAACGGTTTGGGCGCAACGCCTCTCGGTCCTCGTCCGTTGCCATGTTGCATCACGGCGATGCCGTGCATACGTGAAATACCGCCACGGTGGCGAGATGTTAATTACCTCGCCTGGTATACAGGAAGGTCGTCGGTTCGATCCCCACCCTGACGCCTGCTGCTGCTGTATATTTTGTGGTGTCTCTCCTCCCGTGGTCGCGTGGAGTTTTATCCAAAGTCCTCCGGTTTTTCCCACAACATTCAGAACGAACATCACGTGTTTTAGAGTATTTGGCGGTTATAATTATTCGCGTGACAAGCCACTTCATTGAGCTATCATTTATGGCCAGGTTACCTGATAAAATAAAAAATAGTTTCGCTTGCCCCCACCCCGTGTGATGCATTCCTTACAGATCTCCGAGCTAGCCAACCCACAGACGTGGCTGGACGCCGGCACGCAGGTCTTCTACTCCTTCTCGCTCGCCTTTGGAGGCCTCATCTCCTTCTCCAGCTACAACCCCGTGCAGTGAGTCGGCGGGTGGGCGGGTAGGGGGACGGTGGCACAATTCTCACCCCACGAGTCCAAAATCCACCACCAGCCTTTATCCGTCTTCGTGGTTCTTTCGGTAAAGTCACGTAGAATGGATTAAAATAAGAACCAAGAAGATGGATCAATGCAGTCACGAAAGCTTTAAATCGAAAAATCCTTTATCCAGCCTGGGAAAACGCCGCACTGAGCCGTCGCTTTAACAGAGGAGTGAATCGATAACAGAAGCACCCCCACACCCCCCTCACCCCCCACACCCCCCACACCCCCCACACCCCCCACACCCTCCACACCCCCCACACCCCCCTCACCCCCCACACCCCCTCCTCCCCTATGTTCCCAGGCTCTTATCCTCCGTACTTTTTTTCAGCAAAGAGCAAAACCGCGGTCGTAGCCCCGTGCCTCGCGTTGAAACGCCACTCCCAACCAAGACGCATCGCAACGTGCACGCCGCACATCTCTCTCCCTCTCGCTCGCTCGCTCGCAAACAACACCAAGGCTGCCTCCTCTGTAAATTAACGAAGTGGTCATTTTCGATCACGGATCGCGTCGACGCCACTCAGAAACCCTGCCCAGATTAAACGTTGATTATGTTATTTTTGAGGCCATGTTAAAGCCTGAATGCGGACTTGTATGACAGAGGCTGTGTTGCCTTGTTGCCTCTCATTGTAGTGTTTTGTTTGTTTATATGTACGTTAAACTTCTTTCACACCGTACGTAGCCAACCATGCTAATCGAAGGTGCAGGGGAAGGACATGTATGTATGAATGTTGAATTTATTTTGCACCGTACTTAGCCAAGGGCTACACTGACCCCTGAGCCACCCTGACCCCTGAGCCACCCTGACCTCTGAGCCACTCTGACCTCTGAGCTACCCTGACCCCTGCGCCACCCTGACCTCTGAGCCACCCTGACCTCTGAGCCACCCTGACCTCTGAGCCACCCTGACCCCTGAATCACTCTGACCTCTGAGCCACCCTGACCCCTGAGCCACCCTGACCTCTGAGCCACCCTGGCCTCTGAGCCACCCTGACCTCTGAGCCATCCTGACCCCTGAGCCACCCTGACCCCTGAGCCACCCTGACCCCTGAATCACCCTGACCCCTGAGCCACCCTGACCTCTGAGCCACCCTGACCTCTGAGCCACCCTGACCCCTGAATCACCCTGACCCCTGAGCCACCCTGACCTCTGAGCCACCCTGACCTCTGAGCCACCCTGACCCCTGAGCCACCCTGACCCCTGAGCCACCCTGACCCCTGAGCCACCCTGACCCCTGAATCACCCTGACCCCTGAGCCACCCTGACCCCTGAGCCACCCTGACCCCTGAGCCACCCTGACCTCTGAGCCACCCCGACCCCTGAGCCACCCTGACCCCTGAGCCACCCTGACCCCTGAGCCACCCTGACCCCTGAGCCACCCTGACCCCTGAGCCACCCTGACCTCTGAGCCACCCTGACCCCTGAATCACCCTGACCCCTGAGCCACCCTGACCCCTGAGCCACCCTGACCCCTGAGCCACCCTGACCCCTGAGCCACCCTCTCCTCTGTTCGCAGCAACAACTGTGAGCGCGACGCCGTGGTCATCTCCATCATCAACGCCTGCACCTCCATCTACGCCGCCACCGTCATCTACTCCATCATCGGATTCCGTGCCACCGAGCAGTACAACGCCTGCTTTGACAGGCGAGAAAGCGGCAGCCCTGCGATGAGCGTCACACATTCATCAAGCCGATGCTCTGTGGACAATTTGATTTGTGTGGCTGTGTCGGGTGGTGCGGGGGACTTAACGACATAAATTTGGTCACCGTTCCCTGGCCTAACCCAAGAGTTAATTATGGAATGCATCGGTTGCGTGTCCACCTCCTCCAAACAAAACGGGAAGGATTTCTCCTGCAGTGGTCCAACAAATAGCAGCTTCTCTACTGCGTTAGTTTTATTGTAATTGCACTGCATAGCGCTCTCGGATCTGTATATGGACTGTTCGGTTCCTGCAAAAGCTCCTGGCATGTGGAGCGAAACGTCGGACATTCAACCTGAAAATGCACAGCACAACTGCGAACAACTCCGCGGTGGTGTCACGTGACCAAGTGGCAGGGTGTGACGTCACAGCCACGACTCTCTCGAATAATACTTCTCCCCTTGTGGCAATGACCTCGTGCTGAATGCAGTAACATCTTGTTGCTTACAAACACCTTCGACCTGCCCGAGGGCTACGTGACCCAGTCGTCGTACTCCACCATCCTGGAGAGCCTTAATAGCACGAACCTGGACACGATCGCCTCGCTCAATCTCAACACCTGTAAGCTCGACACCTTTCTGAGCACGGTGAGCCAGCCCCTCCCTCTCTCCCTCCCTCCTTTCTGTTTTTTTGACACTCATATTTTATATGATTAATTCTGTGTGCATGTGTAACACAACAAAGACAAAGATCCCTCGTACATACTCTTTGGTTCTATTGGGTAAAGTCACGTAGGTGAAAATAAAATAACATTCATTGATTTTCACCTACGTGACTTTACCCAATAGAACCAAAGAGTATGGATCCTAGCAGTGACGAAAGCTTTAAATCTAGAATCCCTCGTACAGTCTTTAACAGACTGATGGTGCAAGTGCTGTCCGCGATAACTTTTGAAGGCCGGCTGGGCGCACGAGGGGGTGGACGGCCAGCACCACTTCCGACCGCCTGCTGTATATTTGGAGTTTGCACGTCTCTTCCCGTGGTCGTGTGGAGTCCTCCGATTTTTCCCTCCTACACTTAGAACCAACGTGCATTCAAAGTGTTTGGCTTCTATAAATGTCCACGCGATAATCCCACTTCGTTGAGCCTTCATTTGTGACAGCCAGGTTATTTCTATTTTTTATTTTATTTTTTTAAAAAAATCACCTACATGACTTTACCGAAAGAACCAAAGAGTATGGATCCTTGCAGTCGTGAAATCTTCAAATCTAGAACGCAGTGGCAATTCACTACTGATCTGGCGAAGCCCGGCTCTCAGCAGTAATTGTATAGAAAGGCACCGGACAGATCACTCACGGGCGTATGTGGCTGGGAAGCGCACAACCGAGCTGTGGTGGGAGTCCTGGTTCTTGGCTTGTTGTATGTTGAACTTCTTTTGCACTGTACGTAGCCAACCGTGCTAATCGGGGGAAGGACAACAAACTAACCACAAAAATAATTTTTAAAGAAATGGGTTTTCAATCTAGATTTAAAGGTGCACAGCGCCAGTGACTTCCGATATAGCTCAGTGCGCCTTACTTGGTTCAAGATTTTTTTTTTATGACGTGGTTCGCTAGAGCCCTGGCCTAAAACACCCACGCGGCCGAGCGAGCGAGCGCGCGTTCGCCGCTTGCTGCAAAGTTTCCCAGTTGGAGCCCAGCGGCTGCCCTAGTTAATACTGCGGTGTGTATTGATAAAAAAAATATGCACCATCTGCTTCACAGTGGACGTCAAAGAGAATGGTGCGGTGGCATCAGGGTTCAACTTTGCCAACGAAAGAACACATGCTCTAAAATCACTTAACTGGGCAAAACTACAAATCATTGTCGCCCCTTACTAGCGCACTATGCTCGCCCACGACACACGGCACCACGGTAGCCTCGCGCTGTAAGAATTGCGCGGATACCGAGCGTGCTCGTGTCCCGGTGGCGTCGAGCGCAGGGAGTGCAGGGCACGGGGCTGGCCTTCATCGTCTTCACCGAGGCCATCACCAAGATGCCCATTTCCCCACTCTGGTCCGTGCTCTTCTTCATCATGCTCTTCTGCCTCGGCCTCTCCTCCATGTTCGGCAACATCGAGGGAGTCCTCACGCCGCTGCTGGACCTTCGCATCTTCCCCAAGTCCGTGCCCAAGGAGGTCCTCACCGGTGAGGGCACGGCACGGGCCACGGATACTTGCGGGGAAATTAGCGTTTGGCCAATGCGAAATAAGTTCAACATACATACAATACATACAAGACACAACATGCCTGCAGTGGATAACGGGAAGGTCTTTGAAAGTGAATGTTTACAATTAACTGAGGTGCGTGCGCTGTCATCAGTGAGTGCAAGTGGATATAACGGAGTTCAGCTGTGAATGGGGTTGTCACCCCCGAAGTACAAACGGCTGGGACATGTTGTGCATGTGAATGCATCGCCTTGAGTGGTGTACCATTATTATTATTATTGTTGTTGTTACACAACTGATACCGGGACTTTTATTGTACAGGGAAGAGCAACAGATTTCCCAGCGCTGCAGCTGCCTCCCCAAGAAAAGGTCCACCCTGGGAAATCCAGGAGAGGTGGTGACTCCAGATGGGGGTTATCATTCGCCTGTTGTTTGCTGTGAAATTTGCCATCCGTGTCTGCCATGGACCTCCCGCGTCACCCTCTTGTCTGCCGCAGGCCTCATCTGCCTCTTCTCAATGCTGGTGGCGCTGCTCTTCGTGAGCCAGGCTGGCAACTACTGGCTCACCGTGTTCGACAACTTTGCTGGCTCCATCCCCCTGCTCATCATCGCCTTCTGCGAGATGGTCGGAGTGTCCTACATTTACGGAATTGACAGGTGCGCTCACCCGTCCGCCCGCCCGCCCGCTCCGCTGACCCACGCACAAACCGCGTCGACAGCCGGCCAGCAGCACCCATCCCGACAGCGACGTCTTACTGCAATTCTATTTCACCATCCAGCTAGAATAGGAAGTGTAGGAGCGGTGGCCTTGTGATCGAATGTGCAGGCAGTGCAACCTCACCGTGGCGCACCGGCCAGAGACACTCGTGACCCGGGTAAGGCCCATGTCGTCGGGCGCTAGCGGCCATGCTGCACGTCGCCGCCTGTAATCCAGCACCGTAGAGGCGCGACAGCAAGGGTTGGTGGATCACTCGCAGCTGTTGTGAAACTCCCCTTCCGTGGGCGTCGACGAGGTGCCATACCCTTGGGCTCCCCAAGAGAATGCAGTACGGCAAACGTGGACTCTGCCTGTTGCGTCTGTACGAGTGGTGCACGCGTGGGTTTTCTCTAACCGAGTTTCCTCCCACATGTAAACACTCATTAATTTGGCCGAGAACACCTTCATACGTAGAGAACTGCAGAGCTTGGTGGGGGGGAGAGGGGTGGGGGTGGAACGACGCCGGCTCCTCACCGCGTGGCTGCTGCTGCTCTTCCCACTTGCCCACGGTCCCTCCTCACGCCTCTCAGCCATTCCCTCTCTTCGCCTTCGGGCGAAGGGCCCATGCCAACCACGGTACACCACTGCTCGCAGCGAGTCGAGCGTCGACCCGTTGATGCGTCCCGAGTCGGCGCAATTGGTAATGCAGTCGGTCAATCTGCCAGTCCTCCCTGGTCTGTTGTCGCACAATACTTGTGCCCTCCTGCCAGCTGGCCTTCACCATTCCACATGCGACTGTTGTGGCAAGGCCATAATAAATACACGAGGGTCTGCTGAACCACGTAAAACATTTAAATATCAAAGCTGCTCTTCCAGAATTATTGGTTTAACCAGGCAAAACGACGCAACTCTAAAACCTCTATCCACACAGACCGATGAACCAAGGCGTTTCTGATGTTCGTGGTGAGGCAGAGCTTTGTCTCTGTCCATTTATTATTTAATTATCCCGTCATAGGTATCCTGGTCTGGTGACATCACGGCAACATTTGTTGTAAATGGTGGCAATTGTTGTATTTCTTGCTCATGCCGCTGCTGGCGGGAAAAAAATATATATTTCGTCTACTATTTTCCGCTGATCAGACGTCTTGGAAGAAGTGTGGGAGTATCCACACTTTACCCCACCACACGCGGCCTGCCAATGGACGAATTGAACCTCATGGCGGTACCCCGGGGTACCATAGTACTACGGCTCTCGCACAATATCCGTGATGCAGTCATTTTTAGTCTGTTGATGGTCGGCGATGCGACAATCGACTCATCTTGACGAGCTGTACACGATGCACTCTTCAAAGTTACATTTTTCGATAACGGATATTTAATGCTCATGTTTGGCGTTTCGACTTTGCGGAGTAGCACTGATTTCGGATTGATTGGTACCCCCCCCCCCAGTCGCGGAGTGGAAAAAATAGTGTCCCAGAAGTAAAATATTGAATTGCCTCGGCCATTTTGTATTATGTGATACCCCGAGGTACCGCCATAAGGATTCATTGTCAAGCACAGTCCGTGATAACACGTGAGGTGCATATTCTGGCTGAGCAAATATCGAGGCATGTGGGTAGCATCTAGAAGGATCCAGCAGCATCCCGGCTCGTGTGATGATGTTACGCCAAGGCAGCCGTACGACCCCTTCATTGCTGAGTGTCCACTAAACACTGCCGGGTCGCCAATCAGCAGAGGGAGTCGAGATTGTCCAGCGTGCTGGCCGCTCCAGTGCGCCACCATCCCCCGACCGTGTGAGACGCTTATCCGAAGAGCACTCGGCGATTGTGTTCATCGTGTGTGTGTGTTTTCCGATATTAAATGCTCCCCCGTGCTGTTGTACCCACACGCGCCCCAGGTTTAACAGGGACATCGAGTGGATGATCGGACACAAGCCCAACATCTTCTGGCAGGTGGCGTGGCGAGGCCTCAGCCCTCTCATCATGCTCGCCATCTTTATCTTCTACTTCGTCACACAAGTCACACAGACGCTCTCCTACTCCGCCTGGAATCCGGACTACGTGAGTGACGCACGCACGGGCACACGCGCGCACACACGCACGCACGCGCGAATACATACTCTCCATGAACAGTGATGCTGTCCTGGGTAAACAGGCGTAATGACACTACAAAATACAGTATGTTCTCCTATAACGCGGTAGTAGCATTGCTGAAGAACACCGCATTATGGAAAAATCGCGTTATAATAAATAAAATATAATATAGGGTAAAGCATAGTCCCCGATAACACGTGAGATGGGTACGCAGGCCGAACAAAGACTGAGGTGCATGGGTAGCATCCAGAAGGATCCAGCAGCATCCCGCCTTGTGCGATGCTACGCCGAGGCAGCCGTACGACCGCTTATTTCTACTCATGCGATGTAGTTCCGTTGGCGCGATCACGTTATATCCAATTCGCGTGATGAAACAAAGGCACGCGTTATGGGAGCACAGGCTGTGAGACATGGGGTCACCGATTTAGACGAGCCAGGTCTCACGAACATTTGTGCCGCGTCGCTTCAGTGAAGAGAGCCTCTTTCGTGCACTGCGTGGTCGCTCCCTGGGCAGGTGGACTTCCCCACGCTGGAGAGCCAGGACTACCCACACTGGGTGGTGTTCATCATCGCGCTCCTCGCCGGCGTGCCCAGCCTCATCATTCCCTTCTGGGCCATCGTCAACGTGGTGTACAGCCGCTGTTGCCGCAAAGGCGGCCGCGGCGACGAGCAGCCGAAGCCCGACGACTCCGAGGAGCGCCTCGGCTCTGGCCTGGACCTCGAGAAGGCCGAGGTGGAGCCCGGCCACGATAACGCCGTCTACTGCAACTCTGACGACGAGTGACGAGAGATTCGCGCGCCCCGGGGGATCGGCGCGTCACGGGCTGCCCCGACAACTCCGCCTGTCGAACTTTACTTTTGGAAATCGCCCCGTTGACTGTTCTTGGTTATTGTGCAAAGTCGGGGTGTCTCGATTCACCGCTCAAAACGATCAATACGGTGGAATGTGCTCGTCTTGCCAGGCAGGTTCCCGCGGTCGTGCTGCGTAAGGCTCTCCGAGTGGGATTTCGAGTTGTGCCGCGGTGTTCGACATTTCGCTTCGTGTGCCGGAAGCTTCTTCAAGGAACTCAAATTCTGTTTCACCGATTCAATTGAGGTTCCTGAAGAAGCTCCCGGGTACGTGATGTGTCGGATCACCGCACCGTGGCGAGCAGCGCGCGGTACGACCTGGAAAAGGGTCGGACGGCACATCAAATAGCACATTCACATGGCAGGGACCAGTCTATCCATAGAATGACCCCCGTCGACTTCCCGCAAAGTGGTACCTATTTTATGCACTGTGGAAGATGATTAGCCAAATTGACCCTCGTGCAGGAGTTGTGAATGCAGAGCGTTGTAATTGTGAGTGTTGTGTTCTAATCACCTGCCTTGCTATCAAAAATGATGACAACTGTCTCCATAAGTCTAACCCTAGCACTAGCCTTGACACACGACCCTAAAGCCTGGGCACATGACCCTATGATTGGTTCAAGCACAACCGCTGACACTCCCCATAGCAGCACACCGCTAATCCTGGCTCTCGGTGGCGCCGGAGAAAATAACCCAACTTACTCGTCCTCACGCTGGCCCTGATGTGCACCAAACGCCGAGTGCGAACACCACCCACAAGCAAAACCCTTCACCTCTCAACACTCATCCTGACAGCGACTCTGATGACATCACAAACATAAATAATCCACCATCATCATTATCGTGGCCTGATTCCAGAGAATCACATCTCACCGCAAATATTCCAATGTCCGCCAGAGGCAGTTAATCCAAGGAACCCACAGTGGCAACTGCCCCTCTGTGTTACTGTAACTTGTTGTTATACCTTCCTGACCCCGTGCCCCGACTGGACATCTGTGAAAAAAAGCTCCAGAGCCCATCAGATTCTGATTCGGATGTGGCGCAAGGCGCACGCGTCCATCTGGCCGGTATAAATATGACTGGGAACTTGCAGCGTTGACGACGGGCGTCCTGACGCAGCTGCGCAGCGAGTGGAACGTTCTCCAACTTGCGGTGCCCGTTGTCAGAATCTGAGTTCACGTCGTGGAAGAGGCGATGCTGTGGCTGTACGAGAGCGCGACAAATTTCTCCCAAGTCATCCCACGTCGTCAGCATGTCATTTTACATTGCAGCATAGGAAGTTTTTAAGTCGGGAGACTTATTACCCGTAATGTTTTAAATGGGCAAGTCGCAAAGCCTCCGCCCCATCGCAATGATCACGCTTTCTGCAAGAAGGGAATGCCATCCGGTCTTGATTTTTGTCACATATCTGCACTACTAACAGGTTTAGATATGTCGTTACTTGCTTTGTAATACGTCCTATTTTGATGTTCTAGATTTAGCTTCCTGTGCTGCAACGGTTAGTAAAACTGTGGTGCAATGTTTCATGAGTTTTCACATTTTGTGAACCTTCATAAAGGCATTTAACTTCAGCAAATGCATTTCTAAAACCAGTGGCTTTAAACTCAATCATATCTTACCAAAATGTTGCAAACATTTGTCGTGTATAAATTTCAAATAAACGCTCAAAGCTTTAGATCTGTCAAAAAACGATATCCCCAATTCCGTCTTCAGGGTGTTAGAATCTTTAAGTGCAAAACGTTGTCATCCGTTCAACGGCTAAACACAGCTTGTGTACAAACTCAACACACTCGTCAACAACGCTGTGGTCTCGAAAGAAACAAATACATAACAAAACATCGGCGACATTGCGGGAAATGGCCCTTCTTCATAGAACATTTGCAGATGGTTTATTTTTTTAAACAATCTGAAGACACATTTTAGTGGGCGGCAGGGTGCTGCAGTGGTCATACTTGTGGCCTCACAGCAATAAGTAATTGAGTTGGATTCCCGACTCGGGAGTCTTTCTGGGTGGAGTTTGTAATGCTCTCTCTGTTTTGCGTGGATTCCCTCCAAATTCCCCATATATCTCCCATAGCTACAAAAACAAACAAACTACCAAACCGTACAATGTCATGTCACTGGTATTTGCCAAACATCTTAATGCTGAACAATTCCCTGAAACGGTCTTGAGCCTCGGTGATGCTTTCCTGGGTAAACAAAAAGAATACTAAATAACAATTACACACACGCTTCTCTGGAACTCCATCGTGCTTGATTACAGGAGCCCAGCTGTGCTTGTGTTGTGTGTTGGTGGTTCTCCTGGGCCTCCCCTAAGTCCATTCAGCATCAAATGAATACCTGATGCGGTGTGTAAACCGCCACTGGAGAGACAAAGGCGGCCGGGCGTGGTGCTGGCCACCCACCCCCTCGTGTGGCGTTATGGCATTCATAGGTGCTCGCTAACAGCACTTTCCCCAACAGTCTGTTAAGGCTACACGGGGGATCTTTATCTTTGGTGGTTCTTTTGACGACTGGCCTATGACTCCGAACAGATCACAACATCCAAACAAAGGCTCACCACTTATCTAAACATACTGTATGCATCAACGCCTCACCGCCATGTGGTTATACTTGAAATCTTTCAAATTGAAGTTTCCCCCAAGAGAGTCCCTATTTTACGAGGAGGATCCAGATTGAGACGTTTAATCGGCAAGACGTAACGTGTATTAAAAAAAATCAGGAGAACGCTTTGGCCCATTTCTTAGTCTAGGGCTCAGCTCGGCTCAAGCTTGGTGCTGGCTCAAGTGAGTCGGCTCAAAGCCACGCTTAAATTTGAGCCAGCTTCGAGCACAGCAGTCACCAGTCACGTTTAAGATATCCATCGCCTGAACCTGAGCCAGGCCATGGCTGAGCCCAGTCGTGCATCTTTGCAAGCAAACTGAGTGGTCCAAGCCTGAGCTGAGCCGGAGTTGTAAGAGGCCGAGTGACTTAAGAATACGACCCTCAAACACCCCTGCCAAGATTGACTGTTGGAAACTTGCTTGCTACACTTCCTTCAACAACGTCTAAAAATAAAATAACTATTTTTTTTATTTACCAGGAAAGGCCCATTTGAGCGATGTAGCTCTTTAGTCAGAAGCGACCTGGCCGCAAACGAGAGCTCAACGAAGTGGCTCATCGTGTCCAAATTTATAGCACCCAAATACTCTTAAAAGTCTAAACGAATGTTTCTAAATGTGGAGGAAAAACCCGGAGTCCCCGGCGAAGAATCAACGCGACCACGGGGAGAAAATGCAAACTCCTAATATACAGCAACCAGCAGGGTCGTGATCGATCTCACGACCTCCTGCATACCAGGCGAGGGTGTTAACATCTAGCCAACCGCGGAGGAAACATCTTACATCATCCATACGTGATCCTCCGAGCCACCACTCGCGATCACAGGTGTGCAAAATCACCCCCAACACCACTGCCAGATAAAACACACGCAGCAAACTGGAGGCTGAGTCATGCCAAAGCTGCTGCTGCGGTGGTTACAAATCTGCGTGTTTATGACCGCACGTTGTGTTCTGGTCCACGGGTCGATTGCTGATTGCGCGATACAGCCCGTCCGCGGGGACAACCTCGCGATCGGGCTCACAACTGCGTGGGCCATGTACCAGAGCGTCTTCGTGCAATTGACCTTGACCGTTACAGCACGGCCATCGCCTGATACTTTTGAATACGGAAACGGCATGATTAATTCCTGCAGAGACTAAAGGCGCCCACTCCTCTGTAACTGCTGCCTGTTTTCCCTCCGTGGGAGTGTAGTGACATCGCTGGATGTCACCATGCTGTGGGTGTAGTACTGGCCCTAGAGGGGCTTGGCGTGCGGTGCAGCGACACCGCCTGATACCACAATGTTGTGGGTGTTGGGCCGACCCTAGAGGGGCAAGGCGTGCCGTGCAGCGACACCGCCTGATACCACAATGTCGTGGCTGTAGGGCCGGCCCTAGAGGGCACGGTGTGCGCTGAATAACAGCGCTGGATGGCACCACGCTTTCAGTGCAGTGCCGACCCCACAGGACAGGGTGTGTGGGTGCCGACCGAAGGATAGGGTTGTGGGAGGCCATAGCACTCTGGTTGACCCGGGAGGACACGTGACCGGTTAAGTTGACAGAGAAGAGGGGGCTAGGGGGGTCACGTGATTGGGACCTAGATCCTTCCCGAGGATTCTGGAAGATGGACGTGGCCAAGGGCGGAGCCGGCCACGCCATAGAGAATCTAAGCCGGATCCGGAGAGGGACCAGGGTTGTTGTTGTTCATCCTGGAAGAAACCCTTCGTCTACGATCTCTATTCAACGAGTCTCCAACACGTGAACCCGGGCTGAAGTCGTTGGTCCCGGTCCGTAGTAGCAGTCACGTGGTAACTAGTGTGACCACCAGGCTAACTACACCAGTCACGTGGTAACTAGTGTAGCTAGCCTGGTGGTCACCACCTGGCTAACTACACCAGTCACGTGGTAACTAGTGTAGCTAGCCTGGTGGTCACCACCTGGCTAACTACACCAGTCACGTGGTAACTAGTGTAGCTAGCCTGGTGGTCACAACCTGGATAGTTACACCAGTCACGTGGTAACTAGTGTAGCTAGCCTGGTGGTCACCACCTGGCTAGCTACACTAGTCACGTGGTAACTAGTGTAGCTAGCCTGGTGCTCACCACCAGGCTAACTACACCAGTCACGTGGTAACTAGTGTAGCTAGCCTGGTGGTCACCACCTGGCTAGCTACACTAGTCACGTGATAACTAGTGTAGCTGGCCTGGTGTTCACCACCAGGCTAACTACACCAGTCACGTGGTAACTAGTGGAGCAAGCCTGGTGGTCACCACTAGGCTAGCTACACCAGTCACGTGGTAACTAGTATAGTTAGCCTGGTGGTCACCACCAGGCTAACTATACTAGTTACGTGGTAACTAATGCAGCTAGCAGTTACAGAGGAGTGGTCACCACCTGGCTAGCTACACCGGTCACGTGGTAACTAGTATAGTTAGCCTGGTGGTCACCACCTGGATAGCTACACTAGTCACGTGGTAACTAGTGTAGTTGGCCTGGTGGTCACCACCAGGCTAACTACACCAGTCACGTGGCAACTAGTGTAGCTAGCCTGGTGGTCACCACCAGGCTAACTACACCAGTCACGTGGTAACTAGTGTAGCTAGCCTGGTGGTCACCACTAGGCTAGCTACACTAGTCACGTGATAACTAGTGTAGCTAGCCTGGTGGTCACCACCAGGATAACTACACCAGTCACGTGGTAACTGTTGTAGTTAGCCTGGTGGTCACCACTAGGCTAACTACACCAGTCACGTGGTAACTAGCGTAGCTAGCCTGGTGGTCACCACCTGGCTAGCTACACCTGTCACGTGGTAACTAGTGTAGTTAGCCTGGTGGTCACCACCAGGATAACTACACCAGTCACGTGGTAACTGTTGTAGTTAGCCTGGTGGTCACCACCTGGATAGTTACACTAGTCACGTGGTAACTAGTGTAGCTAGCCTGGTGGTCACCACCTGGCTAGCTACACCAGTCACGTGGTAACTATTGTAGTTAGCCTGGTGGTCACCACTAGGATAACTACACCAGTCACGTGGTAACTAGTGTAGTTAGCCTAGTGGTCACCACCAGGCTAACTATACCAGTCACGTGGTAACTGGTGTAGTTAGCCTGGTGGTCACCACCTGGCTAACTACACCAGTCACGTGGTAACTAGTGTAGCTAGCCTGGTGGTCACCACCTGGCTAGCTACACCAGTCACGTGGTAACTAGTGTAGCTAGCCTGGTGGCCACCACCTGGCTAACTACACCAGTCACGTGGTAACTAGTGTAGCTAGCCTGGTGGTCACCACCAGGCTAACTACACCAGTCACGTGGTAACTAGTGTAGCTAGCCTGGTGGCCACCACCTGGCTAACTACACCAGTCACGTGGTAACTAGTGTAGCTAGCCTGGTGGTCACCACCTGGCTAACTACACCAGTCACGTGGTAACTAGTGTAGCTAGCCTGGTGGCCACCACCTGGCTAACTACACCAGTCACGTGGTAACTAGTGTAGCTAGCCTGCTGGTCACCACCACAAGTTGTTATTATGTTAAGGGGACGTTACCCCGTGTGTTGGAACTGAATGAATGTGCTGCTTTCAAAGTCTCCGTCTGCGACTCAGTTGAAGCCACTACAGTCGTACCGGTTGTGTTATCACGGCGTCGTGGGACGCTGGTGGCATGAATTACGCCGTATGAAATGTATCATTATTATCTCCTTTTATCCGCCAATGCTGCTTTCACTGGCGTTATGTAATTTTAAGCCTCGATTGAAAACTCATTTCTTTAAAACTGCTTTTTGTGATGCTGGAAAAGGTTGGGGTGAGTTTGACGAGACTTCAGATTGTGCCTCTCACTGAGATCCTCACTGGCATGGCGCTACCCCTTGTCAGTATGGATACTCTCGACTCTTTCCCTCCATAAGGCCCTGCTCTAATTAATCGTGTAAGTGTATAAGTGAATTTTTAGTGGATGTTTTAGTGATTTGTTTACCTTTCCTATACTTTGCACTACTATTGTGTTCTTTTAATTGTTTGTTGTTAATTTCTGACCCCGCTCCTACGGGACATCTGTGTAAAAAGAGCTTCATAGCTCATCGGATTCCTCCAGGATAAATAAAGATTCTGATTCTGTTGAAGGCGGTCGACGCTGTGTCACATGGTGGATGCAGTCATAGGTCGCCGTGCTGTAGGGCTGCGATTGTCCAACCAAAATAATTTCCCCTCCGCCTCAATTATATCCTAAACCTTTGCAATCGGTGTACAATAAGAAATTGTAGATCCCTTGGCGCCTGTAGATAAGGGAATTCTTTTTTATGCGAGGATGATGAGAGTGTTTCTGCAATAATGAACAAAGATACCCTTCGACTTACAAACTCGTATAATCGTGAAAGACACGTTTTTTTGCAGATTTTCAGCTGAATTCTTTTTTTAATTTGATGCCACACAATGAAAATATGAAGATGCTGCTTAACCTAGCTGAGGTTCTCGAAGTGCTATCTCTTGTGCCAGTGCGAAGCGCAGACATTGTGCAAGTTCATGAACGGTAATTAAACTTGGCTTCCGCCACAAAGATCAGCAGAATGACTGCCGTTTTATTGTAGTAGTGTCATAAATGTAGATTGTATTGCTGTGTAAACTATGATTTATGAACGGGACCATTGTGGTCTGGCAGCTTGCGAGCTGCTACTCTAATCAAAGCCACTGAGGCAAGACAGAGAGCCTGCAGCACTTGGC